TTCATGTTCTCTAGATGTAGATGCCACTGGTTCTTCACGCTCTGCAGATGTAGATGTCACTGGTTCTTCACGTTCTGCAGATGCAGATGCCAATGGTTCTTCGTGTTCTGTAGATGTTGATGCCACTGATTCTTCACGTTCTGTAGATGTAGATGCCACTGATTCTTCACGTTCTGCAGATGCAGATGCCACTGGTTTGTCACGTTCTGTAGATGCCACTGGTTTTTCACGTTCTGTAGATGTAGATACCACTTGTTCTTCACATTCTGCATATGTAATGCCACTGGTTCATCATGTTCTGTAGATGTAGATGCCACTGGTTCTTCACGCTCTGCAGATGTAGATGTCACTGGTTCTTCACGTTCTGCAGATGTAGATGCCACTGGTTCTTCATGTTCTGCAGATGTAGATGCCACTGGTTCTTCGTGTTCTGTAGATGTAGATGCCACTGGTTCTTCACGTTCCGCAGATGTAGATGCCACTGGTTCTTCACGTTCCGCAGATATAGATGCCACTGGTTCTTCATGTTCTGTAGATGTAGATGCCACTGGTTCTTCACGTTCTGTAGATGTAGATGCCACTGGTTCTTCACGTTCTGTAGATGTAGATACCACTTGTTCTTCACATTCTGCATATGTAATGCCACTGGTTCTTCATGTTCTCTAGATGTAGATGCCACTGGTTCTTCACGCTCTGCAGATGTAGATGTCACTGGTTCTTCACGTTCTGCAGATGCAGATGTCACTGGTTCTTCGTGTTCTGTAGATGTAGATGCCACTGGTTCTTCATGTTCTGTAGATGTAGATGCCACTGGTTCTTAATGTGCTGTAGATGTAGATGCCACTGGTTCTTCATGTTCTGTAGATGTAGATGCCACTGGTTCTTTACGCTCTGTAGATGTAGATGCCACTGGTTCTTCACGTTCTGCAGATGTAGATGCCACTGGTTCTTCACGTTCTGTAGATGTAGATGCCAATGGTTCTTCATGTTCTCAAGACCTAGATGCCACCACCTCCATCTTTTTGCGCAGCGGTTGAACTTACGACTCTTTGATTCTATTGGGTAAAGTCACGTAGGTGACTTTACCCAATAGAACCAAAGAGTATGGATCCTAGCAGTCACGAAAGCTTTAAATCTAGAACTCACGACTCTCGGTCCGAACAGGCGACTGGACATACGGATCAGGTTTGTTCGTATCTCGCAAAGTTCGTAGGTCGAATGTCGGTGTTGTTGTTGAATCTCAACGCGTAAACATTTTTTTTCCGCGGTGCAATTAAAACCGAAATCTTAATCCTTTAATCCACTTCACGGCAGCGGCGAACCAAGCTTTACGAATGGTCGTCAAGAGCAACTTGATGGGAGTAGACGACCCCTCATTATTTTTCTTACCGCAGCAGCATGTTAAACATTTCGATTTAAAGCTTTCGTGACTGCAAGGATTCATCTTCTTTGGTTCTTTCGGTAAAGTCACCACGTAGAATGAGAATAAAATAATAAATTATTGTGTTATTTTATTTTATCAATTTATTATTTTATTCTCATTCTAACGTGACTTTTACCGAAAGAACCAAAGAAGATGTTAAACATTCCCATGTATCACTTCGTACATATTTCATGCCGGGAAATAAACAAACGTGCTATGTATTGCAGTACATCGATAACAAAAAAATAAACGTTTTATTAATTTACAGGGCGGTTCAAACTCGCAACGATCATCATCACAACACGGCCGGCAATGTATTTATTTTTACGTGGACAATAGGATTATCGCAGTTTTTTTATTATCGTACTATATCGTAGAACATCATGTTATCGCGTAGTATATCGTGATGTTTTGTATTATATCGTACTATATCGTAGAACATCATGTTATAGCGTAGTATATCGTGATATATTGTATTATATCGTACTATATCGTAGAATATCATGTTATAGCGTAGTATATCGTGATATATTGTATTATATCGTACTATATCGTAGAATATCATGTTATAGCGTAGTATATCGTGATATATTGTATTATATCGTACTATATCGTAGAACATCATGTTATAGCGTAGTATATCGTGATATATTGTATTATATCGTACTATATCGTAGAACATCATGTTATAGCGTAGTATATCGTGATATATTGTATTATATCGTACTATATCGTAGAATATCATGCTATAGCGTAGTATATCGTGATATATTGTATTATATCGTACTATATCGTAGAACATCATGTTATAGCGTAGTATATCGTGATATATTGTATTATATCGTACTATATCGTATTATATCGTGATATATTGTATTATATCGTACTATATCGCAGTATATCGTGATATATTGTATTATATCGTACTATATCGCAGTATATCGTGATATATTGTATTATATCGTACTATATCGTAGTATATCGTGATATATTGTACTATATCGTACTATATCGTAGTATATCGTGATATATCGTACTATATCGTAGTATATCGTGATATATTGTATTATATCGTACTATATCGTAGAATATCATGTTATAGCGTAGTATATCGTGCGATATCGTAGTGTCGTAGTACATCGTGGTCTCATCGTAGTATATCGTAATATATTGCATTATATCGTAGTATATCGTAGTATATCGTGCGATATTCTAGTATATGGTACTAATTCGTAGTATATCGTGATATATTGTATTATATCGTACTATATCGTAGTATATCGTGATATATTTTATTATATCGTACTATATCGTAGTATATCGTGATATATCGTAGTATATCGTACTATATCGTGATATATCGTAGTATATCGTACTATATCGTAGTATATCGTGCTATATCGTAGTATATCGTGCTATATCGTAGTATATGGTACTATATCGTAGTATATGGTACTATATCGTAGTATATGGTGCTATATCGTAGTATATCGTGATATATCGTAGTATATGGTGCTATATCGTAGTATATCGTGCTATATCGTAGTATATGGTACTATATCGTAGTATATCGTGATATATCGTAGTATATGGTGCTATATCGTAGTATATCGTGATATATCGTAGTATATGGTGCTATATCGTAGTATATCGTGCTATATCGTAGTATATGGTACTATATCGTAGTATATCGTGCTATATCGTAGTATATGGTACTATATCGTAGTATATCGTGCTATATCGTAGTATATGGTACTATATCGTAGTATATCGTGCTATATCGTAGTATATGGTACTATATCGTAGTATATGGTGCTATATCGTAGTATATGGTACTATATCGTAGTATATCGTGCTATATTGTAGTATATGGTACTATATCGTAGTATATATGATATATTTTATTATATCGTACTATATCGTAGTATATCGTGATATATCGTAGTATATGGTGCTATATCGTAGTATATCGTGCTATATCGTAGTATATCGTGCTATATCGTAGTATATCGTGCTATATCGTAGTATATCGTGCTATATCGTAGTATATCGTGCTATATCGTAGTATATGGTACTATATCGTAGTATATGGTAGTATATCGTAGTATATGGTGCTATATCGTAGTATATGGTACTATATCGTAGTATATCGTACTATATCGTAGTATATGGTAGTATATCGTAGTATATCGTGCTATATCGTAGTATATCGTGCTATATCGTAGTATATGGTACTATATCGCGATATCACGGCGTGACTGCAACGAGCTCCTCCCACCACAGCGTTAAGCCCCGCCCCTCCGTGACGTTACCACCCCCCCCCCGCTCGATTATCGCGCCCGTGCGGTGAGGTCAATGGCTGGGAAGGCACTGGCTAGTGTCAGAGCCAGATTAACACACTGAGGGGGGGGGGCGTGGCCTCACGGAGGGGGCGTGGCCTCACTGAGGGGGGGCGTGTTAGACACGTCCCCCTTCAGTGAGGCAGATGTGATAGCTGCCTCCCTCGGTGCTTTTTCATTGCAGTTTCACGACGAGACCAGCGAGCCTAAATATCGTTATACACATACGTGAAATAAGTTACCTGGAGTATGGAAGACGAGGAGGGGTCTACAAACATCACATTGGTGACATACTGAGATAGTAACAGGCACGCGCTTATTGCCCGCGCTCCATCCAGTTACTGAGGGGTTGTGCAATCAGAGGGGAGGCCGAGCTCGTCGCTGCCTCACTTACGAAAATTTGGCGATTGACTATAAAAATGATTGGAATCGTACAGAAATAACATTTAAAACACAGATCAGTGGAAAAAAATGTTTATTTTTTATTCTTTTTTTTCATGACAACTATTTTCATTGGACTGTGACAGGTGAGGCTATGCCTCCCCTGACCGCACGTCCCTGGTATAAATATCCAATCGGGGAGGGAGAAGAAAAAATTCAATCCGATGATTTTTGAAGCTCTTTTTCGCAGATGTCCAGTAGGGGGCACCCGGTTCATAACGTTATAACCAAAAACAAACAATACAAAACCGATTAGTAGTGGAGAGGCTAGGAAAAAACATAAATAAAGTGTCAAAATTGCACAAGTGCTGTGAATCAATTTTTACCCAAAAATAGTATGTAAGATATGTTGTTCTCATTGTTTAGAGTTGTCTTATTGTATGGTGAACGCACCGGAAGTTGCGTGTCGAGGACACGTGAACTCTCCGGACGTGACGCAGAAAGGACCGATAGTAACCCCCGCCCTCAACGGGTGAACTTACCGGACGTGACGCAGCAACGACCGATAGTAACTGAACCAACGAGTGACTCTACCGGACGTGACGCAGCAACGACCGATAGTAACCCCCCCAACGGGTGAACTCACCGGACGTGACGCACAAACGACCGACAGTAACCCCCCCTCTGCGGGTGAACTTACCGGACGTGACGCAGAAACGCCCGATAGTAACCCCCCCCACACACTCCCCCCCCCCCCGCAATTTTCCTGCGAGCTCACGATCCGGACGTGACGTCGGCGTGCCCGACGGTAACCCGAGGCCGCATTCGCGCTGTGACCACGTGAACCTCGACCGGACGTGACGTCACCGCGGCAAGGTTCTCCCCCCCACCACCACCACCCCTCCCCCTCGTGTAACGGGGGCCGCAAGGGGACAAAGAGGAGAGAAACGCGTTTCGCCCTGCGGGTCGCTGTCCAAGGTAAGGCGTGAAGCCGGCTTGATGACACCAAACAAAAAGACAATGCAGCAGCGGAACGGCCTTTACGCCTTCGAGTCATTCGCTTCGTAACATCAACAACAACAACAAACATTTTTTTTTATTTAAAAAAACCCAACACCTTTCCATTAATCGCCGGCAGTTGTTTTTAAAACAAATAAATAACGTCGTGCGTGTAGTGCGCGCTGTTGAAATGCCGTGAAGTCGCCTCTCTCTCTGCCTCTCTCTCTCTCTGCCTCTCTCTCTCTCTGCATCTCTCTCTCTCTGCCTTTCTCTCTCTGCCTCTCTGCTTCATCATCGCGTCGTTGTAGTCGCACTCTTCGCATGTGGCGTTGATGAATCGTTCCGTTCGGTTGAACACGCGACGGGACGCACGCACGCACGCGTTTGCTTGCTTCCAAGCTTCGGTGAAACACGGCCGGGGTTTTAGATTTTGTCCACCTCCCCCCCTTCTCCACCACCACCACGGATGCGAGCGAGGGCGCCAGCGACGTCGTTTGGGACGAATTTGCGTCGCCCAAGGCTGCAAATCGATGAAGTCCACCGTGGTGGTGGTGGCGGTGGTGGTAGTGGGAAGGCGTGCCGCGAGTGTCGAACGGCAGGTTAGCCGCCCCAAGTCCATTCAGACGCACCGTGTAAATGTAACGATATATATATGTGTGTGATAAACGCTTTAGAGCCATCGGAATATTTCATCGACTTTTCCACGAACCAAATATTCTGGCACCGCGCAAATGCTTAATTGGGGCGAGCAGACTGGTTTAGATCTGGGGAGAGAGGGGGGGGGGAATCTGTTCTGGTCTTCCCCTAGGTCTACTCGGCCTCAAATGTGTACACGATGCTATTGTGTGTGTGTGTGCGCGCGCGCGTGTGAAAAGATCAGCAGGGAGACAAAGACGGCCGTGCGTCGTTGATGCGCACAGCAAAGTCAGGCTTGCGTTGAAATAGGTGACCGATTCCTCCGCACAATCAACTAGGTTACTTATTAACGGCCTCTGGATTTAGTGGCGTTTTAGATAATCAGATTACGCTCACTGATTGAGTTTCGTCCTTGTTTGTGAGCCCCGCGATATTAATTACACGTCTTTTATTTCACCATTGGACGATGGAGGGGCCATCCCCTCAAGGGCCATTTGGATGTTTTATAAAACATCATTCACGGGCCATACAAAATGATCAAGTTAAAAAAAATTAGCCCCGTTTATATTTGGTCAAACGTTTAATGAACTCACCCCTAATGCGATGGGCTGGGGCTGATTCTCTTTGGCGAGGCGTGGTGATGATGTTAGCTGGCTATTGATGATGTTAGCTGGTAGTGATGATGTTAGCTGGTATTGATGATGTTAGCTGGTATTGATGATGTTAGCTGGCTATTGATGATGTTAGCTGGTATTGATGTTAGCTGGTAGTGATGATGTTAGCTGGTATTGATGATGTTAGCTGGTATTGATGATGTTAGCTGGCTATTGATGATGTTAGCTGGTAGTGATGATGTTAGCTGGCTATTGATGATGTTAGCTGGTATTGATGATGTTAGCTGGCTATTGATGATGTTAGCTGGTATTGATGTTAGCTGGTAGTGATGATGTTAGCTGGTATTGATGATGTTAGCTGGTAATGATGATGTTAGCTGGCTATTGATGATGTTAGCTGGTAGTGATGATGTTAGCTGGCTATTGATGATGTTAGCTGGTATTGATGATGTTAGCTGGTAGTGATGATGTTAGCTGGCTATTGATGATGTTAGCTGGTATTGATAATGTTAGCTGGTATTGATGATGTTAGCTGGCTATTGATGATGTTAGCTGGTATTGATGATGTTAGCTGGTATTGACGATGTTAGCTGGTATTGATGATGTTAGCTGGTATTGATGATGTTAGCTGGCTATTGATGATGTTAGCTGGTATTGATGTTAGCTGGTAGTGATGATGTTAGCTGGTATTGATGATGTTAGCTGGTATTGATGATGTTAGCTGGTAGTGATGATGTTAGCTGGCTATTGATGGTGTTAGCTGGTATTGATGATGTTAGCTGGTATTGATTATGTTAGCTGATATTGATGATGTTAGCTGGTATTGATGATGTTAGCTGGTATTGATGATGTTAGCTGGTAGTGATGATGTTAGCTGGTATTGATGATGTTAGCTGGTATTGATGATGTTAGCTGGTAGTGATGATGTTAGCTGGTATTGATGATGTTAGCTGGTTTTGATGATGTTAGCTGGTAGTGATGATGTTAGCTGGTATTGATGATGTTAGCTGGTATTGACGATGTTAGCTGGTAGTGATGATGTTAGCTGGTATTGATGATGTTAGCTGGTATTGATGATGTTAGCTGGTATTGATGATGTTAGCTGGTATTGATGATGTTAGCTGGTATTGATGATGTTATCTGGCTATTGATGTTAGCTGGTAGTGATGATGTTAGCTGGTAGTGATGATGTTAGCTGGCATTGATGATGTTAGCTGGCTATTGACGATGTTAGCTGGTATTGATGATGTTAGCTGGTAGTGATGATGTTAGCTGGCTATTGATGATGTTAGCTGGTATTGATGATGTTAGCTGATATTGATTATGTTAGCTGCTAGTGATGATGTTAGCTGATATTGATGATGTTAGCTGGTATTGATGTTAGCTGGTATTGATGTTAGCTGGTAGTGATGATGTTAGCTGGTATTGATGATGTTAGCTGGTATTGACGATGTTAGCTGGCTATTGACGGTGTTAGCTGATATTGATGATGTTAGCTGATATGATGTTAGCTGGTAGTGATGATGTTAGCTGGTATTGATGATGTTAGCTGGCTATTGATGATGTTAGCTGGCTATTGATGATGTTAACTGGTATTGATGTTAGCTGGTATTGATGATGTAAGCTGGTAGTGATGATACTCCTTGGTTCTATTGGGTAAAGTAACGTAGGTGAAAATAAAATAACAAAAAATCACGACGTTTCGGCCACAACACAAGCGGCCTTCATCAGGTGAAGGGACGAGACTGTCTGGAGGACAGCGCTGGAGTGAAAGAAGCCACGCTTAGATCACGACCTTTAAGCTGTGTGAGAAGAAAAAGATCACGCGCCTTGACAAAGGAATTAGCATATAATTTAGCATTGAAATGGCTCATTGAAATATCTAAGTTAAAGTATACACATCCGCAGAGGTACCCCTTGACAAAGGAATTAGCATCGAATTTAGCATTGAAATAGCTGAGTGATTAGCTCATTTTCACCTACGTGACTTTACCCAATAGAACCAAGGAGTATGGATCCTAGCAGTCACGAAAGCTTTAAATCTGGCAGTGATGATGTTAGCTGGTAGTGATGATGTTAGCTGGTAGTGATGATGTTAGCTGGTATTGATGATGTTAGCTGGCTATTGATGATGTTAGCTGGTATTGATGATGTTAGCTGGTATTGATGATGTTAGCTGGTATTGATGATGTTAGCTGGTATTGATGATGTTAGCTGGTATTGATGATGTTAGCTGGTATTGATGATGTTAGATGGTATTGATGATGTTAGCTGATATTGATGATGTTAGCTGGTATTGATGATGTTAGCTGGCTATTGACGATGTTGCTGCTGCTACTCGCAACTGCTTTCCCAGGTTTGTTCCCCTAGATTTATTGAATTTCGAGTCCCCCGACAGCGGTTTTTCTTGGCAGGGCCAGCAGACCAAATGATTTCGCGGGTCTCATACGGGCCCACCCCTGCTTAGCTTAACCCGGACGCGGGCAAACGAAGCAACGCGTACATCGTGCACGCAAGTGCCGGATGAAGCGAGAGCGGGGCATGTGGCATATGATGTTATAAAGGGGCCCTAATTATTATATTTTTTAAACGCATAAATATTAAAATACAAATTGTGTACTCGCATAAGTCAAGTAATTGTATTTTTTTTCATTTGCTCAACAGCCAGATAATACGACAAATCGCTAACCTCAAACACCCGGTCGTTCATAAAAGTTAAAGGCGGTATAGTACTGCAGTAATAGAGCTAGTGCAGAATCACTGAACCGGAATTGATAGCTTGAAAGCGTTTAGCGCGGGGCTCTTGAAAGTGCGGGGCCCGGAGCTACTACTACATATGTAGCTACTACTACGCGTGTAGCTACTACTACGCGTGTAGCTACTACTACGCGTGTAGCTACTACTACACGTGTAGCTACTACTACACGTGTAGCTACTACTACATATGCAGCTACTTTTGCTACTAGGTTAATCCGGCACTGCGTGCACGTGATGATAATTCAAAATAACGCGGTCAGGGTGTTGATGATCCAGCACCTAATGATTGGTCAGTCGCCTCCTTATCACTCTACTGGCGCTACTACCGTGGTTTACTGTTCCCGTGAACGTCACTGATTAACGCCAATTCCTAGCTCACGGGATGTCGGCCGCCTCCGTATCGCTCTTCTATCGCTGCTGCTTCTACTACCACCATGGTTACACCTGTTTTCGCATGGACTCCGCTCATTGATTGCTCCGCACGTGTTGAGGACTCGTTCAACCACCACACTCCTCGCTCACCCACTCACTCACTCGCCTACCCACACACTCACCCATCTACTCACTCACCCATCTACTCACTCACCCATCTACTCACTCACCCAGCCACTCACTCGCCTACTCACACACTCACCCATCTACTCACTCACCCAGCCACTCACTCACTCGCCTACTCACACACTCACCCATCTACTCACTCACCCATCTGCTCACTCACCCAGCCACTCACTCACTCGCCTACCCACACACTCACCCATCTGCTCACTCACCCAGCCACTCGCTCGCTTACCCACACACTCACTCATCTACTCACTCACCCAGCCACTCACTCACTCGCCTACTCACACACTCACCCATCTACTCACTCACCCAGCCATTCACTCACTCGCTTACCCACACACTTACTCTACTCACTCACCCAGCCACACACTCACTCACCCAACCACTCGCCCATATACTCACCCACTCACTCGCCCATATACTCACCCACTCACTCGCCTACCCACACACCCAACCACTCAGCAATCTACTCACCCACTCACTCGACTACCCACTCACCCAAACACTCGCCCATATACTCACCCACTAACTCGCCGACCCACTCACCCAACCACTCGCCCATATACTCACCCACTCACTCGCCTACCCACACCCAACCACTCAGCAATCTACTCACCCACTCACTCGCCTACCCACACACCCAACCACTCGCCCATATATTCACTCACCCACTCGCCTACCCACTCACCCAAACACTCACCAATCTACTCACCCACTCACTCGCCTACCCACTCACCCAAACACTCGCCCATATACTCACCCACTCACTCGCCTACCCACATACACAACCACTCGCCCATATACTCACTCACCCACTCACTCGCCTACCCACTCACCCAAACACTCGCCCATATACTCACCCACTCACTCGCCGACCCACTCACTCAACCACTCGCCCAAATACTCATCCACTCACTCGCCTACCCACACACCCAACCACTCAGCAATCTACTCACCCACTCACTCGCCTACCCACACACCCAACCACTCGCCCATATACTCACTCACCCACTCACTCGCCTACCCACACACCCAACCACTCAGCAATCTACTCACCCACTCACTCGCCTACCCACTCACCCAAACACTCGCCCATCTACTCACCCACTCACTCGCCTACCCACTCACCCAAACACTCACCAATCTACTCACCCACTCACTCGCCTACCCACTCACTCACCCGCTCACTCGCTCACCCACACTGCATGTCCACTGTGGAATTCCTTACCCCCCTAAGCCTCGTCTCTTATCACCAATGTCTTTAACAATAAATAACTATAACCTCGCCCAAATGAAGAAACACGGTACCCTCGCCTCTACTTACAAATTCAAGAAGCGCTGTTTGTTGCTGGCCGTTTGGCGTTTTTGGGGCCTCTATCCAGCAAGTCGACATTCATGAATTAACGAGTCCACGCTACCACGCAGCCTTTGTTGAAGTCACGTAGGTAGGCGAAAATAATACTGGCAGGAAACGTAGTGGACTGGAAGCCCAACCGGGATTAATTCTTCACAGGAGGCAGGGGATTAATTGTGGATGTCTGTGGATGTCTGTCCACGTGTATCCGGACACCCGGATAAAATGGGAGGGGTGGGGCTGGGTGGAGAGGGGAGGGGCTGGGGAGGGTAGGGAGGGGAGGGTGGGGAGGAGCTGGGTGGGGGGATTGGAGGGTGGGGAGGGTGGGGAGGGGCTGGGTGGGAAGGGGAGGGTTGGGAGGGGCTGGGTGGGGAGGGTGGGGCTGGGTGCGAGGTGAGGAGGGTGGGGCTGGGTGGGGGGTGGGTGGGGCTGGGGCTGGGAGGGGCTGGTCACCCCGTGGTGCCCTTATAAAACTCAACGTTTCACCTACTCACGCCGGCTTGTGCCCGCCCTCACAGTCGGGCATATTGTGCTGAACACACCACGTGGTGGTGGTGCCGTTGTAGACCCTGGCCATTGACCGAGCAACCCGACGTTCCTACCAGCTCCCTCCGCAGGAGAATGTGTTTGATCGTCGACGTTTCGATCGCCACGCAAGCGGACCGCCTTCAGGTGAGAGAGGGAAAGCCGGCTGCCGAGACACGTCGTGATCTATGAATGTTCCACCCACGTGGACTTCACCGAAAATAACCAAAGAGTATGGATTCCTGCAGCCACGGAAGCTTCCAATCGAGATTGAAGAGTTTTATGTTTACGTGCGCGCAGTACACACGTCTGTATACGGCGGTGTTTGCTGTGTATGCAACGTGGGGAGTGGTGGCGCAGTGGTTAGCGCGCTGCACTTCGAACCCGGCGTCGCCGAATTTTTATTCGCGCTCAAGATCAATGACAGTGACGGCGAATATCTGAACCCGTCCCGAGGCTCCGTTTAGGTCGACTCGGCCTTAAATGAGTATCTGGTGAGGTGTGTGTGTGTAAAACATCGGAACTGGGGAGACAAAGGCGGCCCGGCGTGGTTGCTGGCCACCCACCCCCTCCTGTGCGGTGCCGGCCTTCGTAGGCACTGCTACCCGCTAACAGCACTTGCCCCAACAGTCTGTTACAGGCTACATGTACTCCTGCACGTGTATATCAAGCATGTACGTTTACGTGGGAAAACGTTCATTTGGCAGTGGACATGGTGATGATGACACAGAGAGAGGGAGAGGAACACGTGGATTAGAGAACACACGCAGGGTCGAGGAGACCTCATCATCATCACCCTGATCTTCATCCAGCAGTGGATAGCCCCTGATGCTGAGGGTGTTGATGACTCTGCCCCGACGCCCGACAACACGTGCACGGCGTGACGGACGCCGGTCCACATTCCCCAGTCGACTTTTAGCGACCCCGGCAAAATCGGGGCGCGCCCGCTGATTGGTTTCAGATCCGGAGGTGTGTTGTGGCCTTGGCCAATCGCGCGGGACCGGCGTGCCTGTCCGCTCTGCGCGGCCTGAAGCGAAACCCTTGGCGGTTCAAGGAGTCACACACGTGGCCCAAGATGTCGGGGACACTGCGAGTCCAGGCTCGGCCCTGGCTGGGCCCTGGCTGGGCCCTGGCTGGGCCCAGGCTCGGCCCTGGCTGGGCCCTGGCTGGGCCCTGGCGGATTTGACTGCGGTAGATTTTCACGCGAGAAACCACTTCGTTAAGCTATCATTTGTGATGGCCAGGTCGCTTCTGCAGAAAAAAAAGAAAGCCACATAGCTCCGTGGGCCTTACCTGGTAAAAAAATAAAATAAAATAAAAATCGTTTTGTTTTACTCATCCAAACGGGTTCTTTGGTGGGGCGAGCCAATGACCTCAAGACCAGGTCACCACCAGCTGCGACCACTTCGTGTTTGTGACACGGTCAGTGGCCTTAAGCCACCCCGGGTCTGGGTGTCTCTCTCTCTCCCATGGGGCTTCACATGTCAGTGACTCTGGGTCGACACTGCTGGCAGCCTAGGTGTACACGTTAACACGTGTGTGTATGTGTTGATATACACATGTTATTAGCGGTGTCAAGATCGGCCTCTGTGGAGGAGGCTCGTGAAGGACGCTGCTGCTGCTGCTGCTGGGCAGCTGGAGGCAGTCGCCCTCCCAACAGCAACCGAGGGCAGAGGAGCGACGCTCACAACACGGCTGGTGGTGCATCTGTCGGTCATCTGAGTCGGTCAACCCCTGGCACCACCTGCTGGGTCTGTCCCGTGACCTCCTGTCAGCAGCGAGGGCCTCCGACACTTCAAGTGGCCTCACAGTGCACCTGGCCTGGCACATGCGCCGTGGCGATGTTGCCATCACTTAGCGGGCATTGGTATACACACACACACGTGTTAGCAGAGCTTCGTAGCTCATCGGATTCCTCCAGTCCAAATTAAGATTCTGAATGAGTAGCTGGTGTGATGTGTAGTAAAACATCAGCACTGGGGAGACAAAGGCGGCCGGGCGTGGTGCTGGTCAAACCCACCCCTGTCTCGTGCCGTTCCGGCCTTCACAGGTGCCGCTCGTGATTCAGCACTTGCCCCGACAATCTGTTAAGGCTCCACGGGGGATCTTTGTCTTTGGGTGGAGAGCGTTAGTGCCGTGGTCAGCGCTACGCCGTGCTGCAAACCCCGGCGACCCGGGTTCGATTCCCGCTCACCGCCACCCAACACCGGTGACGATTATCTGAACCGGCCATGGGCCCCCCCTAGGTCGACTCAGCCTCAAACGAGCCCCTGGTAGCTCATGCGTCTAAACCTCACCGGTTGTTGTAGTTGTTGATGTGTAAGTAAACATCGCCACCGGGGAGACAAAGGCGGCCGGGCGTGGTGCTGGCCACACCGGCCTTCACAGGCGCTGCCGCTCGCTGACAGCACATGGGCCGCGCCGATGGGATCCCATGTCCGTTGGCAACCTGCCAAGTTGCTGTGACCCCCCATGCCCTGCAGTGCCGCATTTTCTGTCGGCCCTGGCTCGGCTCTGGCTCGGCTCTGGCTCGGCTCTGGCTCGGCCCTGGCTCGGCTCTGACTCAGCCCTGGCTCAGCTCTGGCTCAGCTCTGGCCCTGGCTCGGCTCTGGCTCGGCCCTGGCTCGGTCCTGGCTCGGCCCTGGCTTGGCTCTGGCTCGGCTCTGGCTCGGCCCTGGCTCGGTCCTGGCTCGGCCCTGGCTAGGCTCTGGCTCGGCTCTGGCTCGGCCCTGGCTCGGTCCTGGCTCGGCTCTGGCTCGGCTCTGGCTCGGCTCTGGCTCGGCTCTGACTCGGCCCTGGCTCGGCCCTGGCTTGGCTCTGGCTCGGCTCTGGCTCGGCTCTGGCTCGGCTCTGACTCGGCCATGGCTCGGTCCTGACTCGGCTCTGGCTCGGCTCTGGCTCGGCTCTGGCTCGGCTCTGACTCGGCCCTGGCTCGGTCCTGACTCGGCTCTGGCTCGGCTCTGGCTCGGCTCTGGCTCGGCCCTGGCTCGGCTCTGGCTCTGGCTCGGCCCTGGCTCGGCCCTGGCTCGGCCCTGGCTCGGCCCTGGCTCGGCTCTGGCTCGGCCCTGGCTCGGCCCTGGCTCGGCCCTGGCTCTGCGGTGGGTCGACCTTGGCTCGGCCCTGGCTCGGTCTTCTGGGCGCCGAAAGTTCCCTCCCGTCCCCTGCCGTGCCACCCCGCCCGCCCGCCCGCCCGCCATGGCCGTGTTGAAATGGCCTCGGCTAACAGTACGAGTGTACGAGTGCCCGCATTTTTGGGGCTCTTTTTTTTAAAAACATTTTTGTTTCGCCACACTCGACGCGGCGGTTCGAGTTGTCAACAGGAGCGGGTCGTACGAGGTTGTGGTCACGACCCGAACTGTTGTTCCCCCGTGTCCGGTGTGGTTTCATTTTTTTTATTATTGTCGGCGTCTGCCCTTTCCACGCGTCGATTCGGCGTGCGGCGATGTCTTTGGCCGCGGCACGCATGGCCACTTTGTTGGGCTGTCGTTTTTTGATGACCAGGTCGCTGCTAACAAAATAAATCTGTCGCTCGGTGACGCGTTACCTCGTGGGTTTGATCCCGACCCTGACGCCTGCTGCTGTATATTTGGAGTTTGCGTGTCTCTCTCTCTCTCATCATCACGGTGGCTAGGAGATGTTAACTACCTCGCCTGGTGTACAGGAGGTCGTGGGTTCGATCTCGACCCTGACGCCTGCTGTATATTTGGAGTTTGCGTGTCTCTCTCTCTCTCTCATCATCATCGCGGTGGATAGGAGATGTTGACTACCTCGCCTGGTGTGCAGGAGGTCGTGGGTTTGATCTTGACCCTGACGCCTGCTGTTTATTTGGAGTTTGTGTGTCTCATCATCATGACGGCTGGGAGATGTTAACTACCTCGCCCGGTATACAGGAGGTCGTGGGTTTGATCTCGACCCTGACGTCTGCTGCTGCTGCTGTATATTTGGAGTTTGCGTGTCTCTCTCTCTCATCATCTTCATCACGGTGGCTAGGAGATGTTAACTCGCTCGCCTGGTATACAGGAGGTCGTGGGTTTGATCTCGACCCTGACGTCTGCTGCTGCTGTATATTTGGAGTTTCCGTGTCTCTCTCTCTCTCCCCGTACCCGCGTGGATTTTTCTCCGGGTCCTCTGGTTTTTCCCCTCCACGTTTAGAATGAACGTCACCACGGCGTTTTGAGTGTTTGGCTGCTGCTTGTCATTTCCACGCAATAAGCCACTCCGTCGAGAAGCTACCATTTGTTATGGCCACGGTCGCTTCTGAAGAAGAGAGAGCTCTACAGCTTGAGTGTTCGCCGTACCTGGCGAACAACACACCTGATGACGACCGTTTGTGTTATGGTCGAAACGTCGTGAGATTTTTTTTTATTGTTTTATATATAGGAATAGGTTTTTCCCTTTTAACTGGCACAAAAACTGACACCTTTATTCAAGGCATCATGTTTGCAATAACCACAACACAAGCAGTCAAAATGCAAACAAAAAAGACAACTCTGATAATAATATTGGCACTGTCCTTGAATTTGATTGGTCCACACCCGAGACAGCTTTTCTTAGAGCCTAGTCTCCATTGGTGTTGGACCAGAAGACGCCAAAAGGCGTACAACTCAAAAACAGCCCACTATCAGAGTATTGAGGGCTCGGGGTGAGCATTTACATTATGAGACCTCCTTTGCCAGAAACAAGATATAGGAATAGGTTTTACCCTTTTAACTGGCACAAAAAACTGACACCTTTATTCAAGGCATCATGTTTGCAATAACCACAACACAAGCAGTCAAAATGCAAAGGAGGTCTCATAATGTAAATGCTCACCCCGAGCCCTCAATACTCTGATAGTGGGCTGTTTTTGAGTTGTACGCCTTTTGGCGTCTTCTGGTCCAACACCAGTGTGAGACTTAAGGGCTCTAAGAAAAGCTGTCTCGGGTGTGGACCAATCAAATTCAAGGACAGTGCATATTATTATCAGAGTTGTCTTTTTTGTTTGCATTTTGACTGCTTGTGTTGTGGTTATTGCAAACATGATGCCTTGAATAAAGGTGTCAGTTTTTGTGCCAGTTAAAAGGGTAAAACCTATTCCTATATCTTGTTTCTGGCAAAGGAGGTCTCATAATGTTTTATATATATTTTATTATTTTATTGTTTCCCTTCAACGTGACTTTACCGAAAGAGCTAAGAATATTAATTACTGCAGTCACGAAATCTTTAAATAAAACAAAAAATAGTTTGGTTTATTAAAATATGTTGTCCATCGATCCCCCACAAACGCCAACCAATGCGTGCATCGTGAGCCACAGAACCGATAGTAATTTAATGAACCGATATTAATTTAATGAATCGATATTAATTTAATGAATCGATATTAAATTCACGAATCGATAGTAATTTAATGAACCGATATTCATTTAATGAATCGATATTCATTTAATGAATCGATATTAAATTCACGAATCGATAGTAATTTAATGAACCGATATTCATTTAATGAATCCATGCATCTGTCCCCGTGAACTCCTTCCTCTTGCTGGCCACCCACCCCCTCGTGTGCAGTGCCGGCCTTCATAGGCGCTGCTACTCGCTAACAACAGCTCTTGCCCCTACAGTCTACTCAAGGCTACACGGGGCTATCTTTGTCTTTGTGAGTTGAGTATGAGTGCGTTTGTCAGTATGTACGTGTGTGTGTGTGTTGGTCAACCACGTTATGTATGCCGATGATTTGGTAATAGCCGCTCATTCAGAGGAGGAGTTGGAGACGCTGCTGCTGAGACTGGAGCGTGCCACTAAGAGGGTGGGGCCTTACTATCAGCCCCACCAAAACTAAGCACCTGCCTGGGTATTTTGTACCATCGGACACTACACCCCCACAACTCCCAATCGGTGATGGGGCAGTTGTGGAGAGAGTGGAGAGTTTCCCATACCTGGGCAGTGTGCTTATGACCGACTCCAGTTTAACAGCAGAGGTCTCACTCCGAATCAGTCGAGCGGCAATATCTTTTCATCGGTTGCGTAACGCTGTGTGGAAGCTACCTGGTCTGTCGCTCCGCACTAAGCTTCAGGTCTTCTCGGCCATGGTCATTCCCTCCCTTCTCTACGCTTGCGAAACGTGGACCCCCCTAATGGAACATCTTCACCGGTTAGAAACATTTAGGCTGGCCTGCCTACGATCCATCCTGGGTTTAACCAGGCTGGATTGTGTGAGCTCACAAATCCTTGAAAAATCTGGGCACGGTCCCATCGGTGAGCTCCTCCGGCAGGCAAGGCTGCGTTGGCTGGGTTATGTAGCCCGCATGCCCAGCCACCGCATGCCGAAACAGCTTTTGTTCGGCCGGATCGAGGGGGCAAAGCGGGCGCGGCACGGGCTAGAGAAGAGATGGAATGATGTGGTACAGGAGGACGTGGAGCTGAGTGGACTTGCCGATGGCTGGTACCAGCGGTGTCAAGATCGGCCTCTGTGGAGGAGACTCGTGAAGGATGCTACTGGGCACTTGGAGGCAGTCGCCCTCCAACAACAACGGAGGGCGGAGGAGCGACGCTCACAACAACGAGCAGAGCGCCGGGTAACTAGGGCACAGCAGGTTGACATAGTAGGGGGCACAGGTGGTGCATCAGCCAGTCATCTCAGTCAGTCGAGCCGTGGCACCTGGGTCTGCCCCGTGACCTGCCAGCGGGCGTTCGACACTTCACGTGGCCTCAGGGTGCACATGGCCTGGCACAAGCGTCGTGGTGACGTCACCGCCACTTAGTGGCGAATGGCGGTTGTTGTTGTGTGTGTGTTAGAGCGTGTGTCCTTTTGTATGGCTGTGTGTATGTGTGTACGCATACTTGCCCCAATAGTCTGCTGAAGGCTACACAGGGCATATTTGTCTTTGTATCCCCTGTGTGTGTGTGTGCGTGCGTGAGGCCTATCTGTGTATATTTATGTCGGTATGGTATACATATCCCCTGTGTGTGTGTGCGTGCGTGAGGCCTATCTGTGTATATTTATGTCGGTATGGTATACATATCCCCTGCGTGTCTGTGTGTGTGCCTCCCGCATGCACAAGAAGCAACGTGAAACGCAGACTTTGCTCCCCAGCACTACGGCAGCCTTAATAGGAGCTCGCAAACCGGGCCACAGATGGCACGCGTGTGTGTCCCCACGTTCTATCCGTGCCAGCTAACCCCCCCCCCCATCCGTGCCAGTGATTCCCCCCCCCCCCCATATCCGTGCCAGCTAACCCCCCCTCCCCCTATCCGTGCCAGCTATTTCCCCCCCCCCCCCCCCCATATCCGTGCCAGCGAATCCCACCGCCCTATCCGTGCCAGCTAATCCCCTCCCCTATCCGTGCCAGCTATTTCCCCCCCCCCCCCCCCCCCCCCTCCCCCCCCCCCCCCCCCCGCCCCTAATATCCATGCCAGCGAATCCCCTCCCCTATCCGTGCCAGCTAACCCCCCCCCCCCCATATCCGTGCCAGCGAATCCCCTCCCCTATCCGTGCCAGCTATTTCCCCCCCCCCCCCCATATCCGTGCCAGCTAACCACCCCCGCCCCTATCCGTGCCAGCTAAACCGTGTTTAGCTGGCACGGATAGGGGGGCTGGGGTTACTCTTTCGCTGTCGGTGATTGATGTGCGGCAGGCAACTGATGCTAACTTTACACAATCGCTGACTCCAGCGACTATATATACACATCAATATAGATAATTGGCCCTCTCAGCTCTCTGTCCCCCACTCTCTCCCCCCTCTCTCTCTGCCCACTCCCACTTGCTATCTTCACCCACCTCTCTCTCTCTCTCCACTTGATCTCTCGTCTTCCCAACCGTGTCTTGCCTTGTGTGTTTCTCCACGTGTCTCCTCCACACGTGTCTTCACGTGTCTCCTCCACACGTGTCTCCACGTATCTCCTCCCCCTCCCCCCGTGTCTCCACGTGTCTCCCTCTCTCTCCCCGTGTCTCCACGTGTCTCCCTCTCTCTCCCCGTGTCTCCGCGTGTCTCCTTCCCCCCTTGTCTCTCTCTCTCCCCCCGTGTATCCCTCCCTCCCCCCGTGTCTCCCTCCCCCCGTGTCTCCCTCTCTACCCCCGTGTCTCCCTCTCTCCCCGTGTCTCCCTCTCTCCCCGTGTCTCCCTCTCTCTCCCCGTGTCTCCCTCCCTCCCCCCGTGTCTCCCTCTCTCCCCGTGTCTCCCTCCCTCCCCCCGTGTCTCACTCACTCTCCCCGTGTCTCC